AACGACCTCATGTACCTACTTACATGGGAATTTTCTATGGCATGTCGAATTCCAGACACCCTGTATAGAGCTGTCAGAACTAGCCTTTTGTGCTTGTTAAATAACACGTCAAGCCCATGTTTTATAATAAAGTTAAATATCAATTTCAATTTACAGCGAAAACGATCATTGGAGAAAATTATTATCTGTTTTCTTTGTTGTGTCAATTTTCATCTCAGGTTTTCAAGGAAAAATAGTTTTTTTCCATTTCCATTAAGTAACTTTAATTATTGGGTTGGTATACTATTACAAACTGTGAAAAGGAAAGTATGCTCTTCATAGGAGGATATAGCAAAATCAAAGTTTAGGAAAAGCGAAATAGGAAATGAAAATTAAGAACAACAAATTGCTTCATAGATCCTAACGAGAAGGAATGTCAGCAAAACAAATCACACAATAACACACCAGAACTACAAACAACTCTAACACCATAAACTCGACAAAAAATGGGTCGTTCTCAACAATTTATTCCGCAACTTCTTCATTTTATGCGAAAACAACAAAAATGACGTTAAATAATTCAAGAACATTTATCCCGGTTCCGTTTGCTTTAACTGAATTAAACTGGAAACTCGTAAATAAGGTTTTTAATTTCCGCACGTCTCGCGGAGCTTGAATTTTTAATGTGTTTTGACAACGCGTTTTAGATTTTGTTTGGACACTACACTTTCTTCGCGATTTTCGTACGAAACCATCTTGTTTGTGCATAGAAATAGGTGAGATGCTTGTGTTTTGTAATTTATAATGTATTGTCACATACAGTTAAAGCTACTTGTATCGTTTCTGGTAACCTGATGTGGCAAAGATTCTGAAATTGTATTGTGTTGTTGGCAATAAACGTCTCCCCAGGACAAAAAAGTCTCCCCAGTCTGAGTAGGTCTTAGAGTCAATCTCATGTTTTAAGTTTAAAGTGACTCAGACATCACATTCTGTGTTTGGTCTAGTTAAATTACGAATCGTGCGGATTTCATCACGGACGCGGTATTGCCCCGCATGCGTGATCCTTTGTGTATCCTAGTTTTTTTTTAATGCATAACAAGGCAGGTATTTGACCGCAATCGCACCTGGTGTTAAGTGAGATGCAGTCTAGGGTGGTAGGTACATAATAATATCTTCCCTGAAGTGCCTATTCACTCTCGCCTTGAAAATTTGCACTTATCGAACGTCCCGCGTCGTAGTCCACACATTAACACATTACAATAAAATTACGAGTACTTGTATAAAAGGGACACTTGCGGGTGTCGCGCATCCGTGAGGAAATTCGCAAGGTTTGACGTATTGACTGTTACACCACGAGTTATTTATAAATAAGGAAACTTTTATACCATTTCCTTTATTGGGAATAAAGCGGGAAACCGCACTCCCTTTAATACCCATTAGGTTTTTGTAAATAGAGGTATTCCCGTAAAAGTATTCCCGTCACTTTCCCCGTTCCCACCCCACATTACTTCTGTTTAGTAGCTAAATAAAATAAATACAGATTACACGGAATGTCCCTGTATAAATATAGCTGTTTCTTTTTGCTTTTTGTTACTCCTAGTTCCTAATGTGTGGGAAGAAATAAAACCCAAAATTACTAGCCTTTGTTCGCAGCTTCACCCGTCTGAAGTTAAGTTAGTAAAAATCGTTATAAATTAAATGTTTAATGTTAAATTTTAATTTCATCAAAATCTATTTATTAGTTTACGTGTGAAATGTACCAAACTTCCTCTCACTAACTTTTACCACTATACTTAATATTTTAAGTAAAACTGCCGTTATATGAATAAACCATTATGTAGGTACTTATTAAGTTATAGTCATAATATTTTATTGCATCAATTTGGTATTGTTCTTAATGTTAAAAATAAAACATAGCAACCTTAATTTTCGTTTCCTCAAATGTAATCGCAACCTTGCTGCGTTACATTTTGCTCTAAAATCCGTTGTCAAATAATTTTGGCTTATGCGATGATAAACAGTGACGTCACGGGAATGCGAGTGTCAGCTGTCATGTGGCCGATTACCGCTGTGAAATCTAAACGAAGTCAGTCAGTACATAATTAATATGTGAAGGTAAGTCTGACGGGGGTAAATACACCATTAAAACGAGCGACCTCGCTTATTCTGACAAAAAAGTGTTACGCGGATGGTTTCAGTCTTCATGAGACATCGATTGGAAATGGTTTTCTTTATATTGTTGTACCTACTCGTAAAATTTGCAACAAAGGTGACTGACTGACTGACTAACGGACTGACTGACTGACATAGTGATCTATCAACGCACAGCCCAAACCACTGGACGGATCGGGCTGAAATTTGGCATGCAGGTAGACGTTATGACGTAGGCATCCGATAAGAAAGAAATTTACGAAACTCCACCCCTAAGGGGGTAAAAGGCGGCGGCCGCTAGTGTGCAACATATAATAAGTGTAACGTAGAGACCCGTATTTCTGTAAATAAGCCTATGTGCTAGTTTTCATACCTTTCTGCACCTTAGTCTCTTTTCATGTATGCGGACCAGATTCGCACGCATGCTGAATCCGCATCACAGGATAAAGGCACTTAACCCAACTTTCATCATCATCATCATCATCATTTTAGCCACAGGACGTCCACTGCTGAACATAGGCCTCCCCCAATGCTTTCCACGTTGATCGATTGGTAGCGGCCTGCGTCCAGCGCCTCCCCGCTACCTTTACGATGTCGTCGGTCCACCTTGTAGGTGGACGTCCCACGCTGCGTTTTCCGGTACGCGGCCTCCATTTCAGCCTAACTTTATTGCCTTAGAGAAGACAAATTCATAACCCCGTTTAATTTAGTAATAGCCAAATTTTGGTCCAAATATCGATGTTTCCGCATAAACAATGTGCCTATGTAACCCGCATTCGTTCACATAAAGGCGAGATAAACTCAACCCTTCTCTGGCTGCGTCTAATTTAGTGAAAAGATAACGATCGAGGCGTTCTTGGTGTAAGTTAGAAGCAGGTGCGGTAAACAACCATTCTAGGCCTAGGATGCGCGCCGCGATAAGCTTTTATCGCGCCATTTTATCGATTTTACCAACATTTTGTCGTCTAAAATCATCGATAAGATTTTATCACGGCGTGCATACTAATTTCTTGACCGGCTGGTGTAAGTTAAATAAGACAAGATTGTCGGTGAGCTTCAGAAGGAATATAGGTCGCGGCAACATGGCCAACCAAGCTCAAAGAATAAGAAATAAGCAACAACAGCGCATTTATTAAAATTCGTCTAGTGATCACATCTTCTAAATATATAAAAGGAGAAACTGACTGACTGACTGACAGATCAACGCACAGCCTAAACGGCTAAACGTAGGCACTTGAAATTTGGAAGGGACGTAGCTTAGGTACCGTAGAGGTGCACTAAGAAAGGAATTCCCGAAATTCCCACGGGAACGGGAATTAGCGGGAAAAACGGGATTGACGCGTACGAAGTCGCGGGCGGCCGCTAGTTATTTATAAGCTACTTTTTACGTATTGACAAAATTAAATGTATGTATTGAAACAGGGGTTTAAAACTGACTAAATCAAACACTGAACCATACGGTAATGGTTTTCACCATAAGTTAGATTTCACAAAAGTAATCTAGAAGCTTCTGCAGTAACGTCAAACGGTGAGTGCAAAGATAGAAAGGCTAATATTGGTTCGCTCATAGGGTCAATTGATGCCACTGGCGAGTGCGTAAGGTCCTGTCACTTGCCAATGGATGGAACTAATGCCCGTATACACAAATATTACTATGAGGTCTCACAGTGCGCGTTGACGCACAGGGTGACACACGAACCAATCACAGAGCTCCATTCAACCTGTGCGTTCGATTTGCTGCTTCACTTACGCAAGCATCGTTTGTGAATACGGGCGTAATTAATGCACGCAAGATACAGCAAAATGACTATCTTCGGTGACTCTCAAATCCGCTGCATCTCCCCTCTCGCTCTACACCTCAGCATCCAACGGAGACGTAGTTAAAGCTGAGCGGGGCCACGTAATTGCCACCCTTAGACAAAGATAGCACCAAAAATGCCGCAAATCTTTGTACTCTAATATAAATAGTATGCGCTGTAATCTGTTTTATTACTGACCCGCTCTTTGGGGCCTGGTTGTTATTCGTAAAACAATTGAAGTTTTTACGGTCGGCCAAAATGAAAATGAACTGCGGGTGTAAAGAGCAGGGTTTTTCCTGTGTGGAAAGTTCGCTCGAGGGAATTGGCCACGTGATTGTGGTTAGCACACGATATCAAGGAGGGTAAAACTTTTTGAGTTTAGAGAAAAAACAAATTGGTAAATATTTGGGTAAAAAGTACCCACAATATCTTCAGTTGTGTAGTGTAAACCGAAAGTCATTGGACGCTGCCAGTCATTGGACAAAACAACCCTTGAATTTTCTTAAAATGAATATTCCTTCAAATACAATGAATATTTCTTTTAAAAAAATCGCCCTTTTAGCTCCATCAGTCGGAATCTCTCAGTTGTTGAAATATAAATGCTATTTTTAATTCAGTAAATAACTGCCTAATAACTTTCTTAAGTGTCAAATGACTGGCAGTTTACCCTACTTACGTCACGACCCGATAGCAGATTAACTTTTCCACCTGCTGTACAAGGACTGAAATAACTTGACGTTGCCATACGAAGTAAGTAGGTAGATAAGCATTATATCATAGAGGTCCAATTAAATTAATTTTAATTACAGTCACAGCAGTCAACCCAAACTCAAAACGATAAAACTCTACTCTACACCAGATTATTGCGTGTACACTAAATCCTGGCTCCCTTCGTATGAAACTCTTATCGAGTTCATATCACATCAAACCCTCCTTCTCTATTACTCAGTTACTCACAAACCACGGACACCATAAAGAATACCTCCACAGATTCAAGGTTACTGACAACGACACATGTCCCTGTGATAATTTAACCACCCAATCAATGTTGCATCTCGTTCAGGGGGCGCTGCTGCGCGTAAACAAACATGGGATGGAGTAAAATTTATTTATTTTTCTAGTATAAAGTGACTTATTCGTTAGTTTAAAGTAGTGCTGGAGTGCAGTGGGCTACGGACATTGTGTATTACATGGAGTTTTGTCTGACTTTGCCGTATAAACAGTGAAATTAGTGACTGATTGTGCCGGATTATCTGTGCAAATATTACGACAAGTTATTTACTGGACATGCGAAATAATCATATAAACCGACGATATACTACAGACTGATGATTCGAAATCTATTTAGTGCTTGAACTGTTTATTATTTTTGGAAGTGAATATATTTATAACCTCAATACTGACTCAGTGCCCGTAATTAAATCATTCTGTGAACATTCAACGCCATCTATTGTTTACAATTGGAAGCTTCTTGCAAGACGAGAAGGCTGCTTTACACGGAGGATTGTCAGGAAAAACAAGGGCCATTTTAGTACCTTGAGTCGTCAACAGAATGCGTTATATGTCACTTCATTAACTAACTCCTGCATGCTAACTAAGGAACTGTTTTGGTAAACATTGAAAATGAGTGTACCGAATAAATGCTCGGGCTGCCAAAGACAGCTGCACAAAAGGGAATTCTTGCGATGCATGACTTGTAAATCAACATATGACTTAGAATGTGCAAATGTCTCATACAAGCTGTTTAATATAATGAAAAAAAAAGACCAGTGGAGTTGCCCGGAATGCATGAGCAAAAAGCCTAAGACGGGTAATATAAACACACCAATTCGTACATCGGCTTCAAGTGGTAGCATGGAGGACTCGGCCCCGTCACCCACACAAGATATGAATATTACACATCGTAGGCAAATCTCGAAACCAACACATGAGACTTCATTCTGTGAGCAGGACTGTTCGAGCCCAGAAACCTCTACTCAAAATACGAAGCAGGATGATATGGTCACAGAATTAAAACAATATATGAATGGCCTGATCTGCAGTCAGGTGGACAGCTTGCGTGCGGCGATCACAGAGCTCACTGACACTATTAGAACGCAAAACAGTCGTATCGAGAAGCTGGAAGCCAGAGTGTATGAATTAGAAAACCGGTCAAATGAGCACCCAAACATTACGTCTTTCGAGAAAACAATAGCTGGGCTTCAAGCGGAAATTCATGACCGAGACCAAGCCCTTTTATTGAACGACGTGGAGATTGCTGGCTGCCCAGAAACACCTAATGAGAACTGCACCCACATCGTAATTACGCTCGCAAAGAAGATCGGAGTCGACATCGATGAAAAAGACGTAGTAAGCGCGGAAAGGGCTGGCCCTCCGCGCCCCGCAGCACAGGGCGGCGGCCCGACCCGCCCTCGTCCCCTAGCCGTGCGCCTTACCCGCCGCGCCACCCGCGACGCTCTGCTTCGTGCTGCACGGGTACGGCGCAATGTCACAACCGAGGGCCTGCCGGGGGCAAGTTCAGCGCACCTATGCTACATCAACGAGCGACTTACCAAACATAACCGGCAGCTATTTCAAAAAGCGCGGGAACGCTCGCGTGCCTGCAAATTCAAATATGTTTGGACGCGAGAGGGCAACGTTTTTGTTCGCCAAGAAGATGGGAAGCCACGCCACAGACTGCGGTCAGAAGAGGACCTAGAAAGGGTTTTTCCTTCAATTTGATGTTCGCGTTGTGTTCCGTTTTGTGGCTGACTCTTGATTTGTTTAATTCTTATTTTTCAAATTATCTTTGTTTTTTCCATTTAGTTGTTTATAAAAATTATCTATATAGTGCACTGTTTAAGTTAGTAATATACACTTTTTCATACTCACACACAAAACTACTTACACATTTACACAATTTACACACTTTTGGCGGATTCGTCAACACTTTAATTTGTATAAAATGTATGCAAATAGCTACCGATTATAATGCATGATAAAAGAGTTAAATGTTTGAGAGTGGGGCTACTTAATGCAAGATCACTGAACACGGGACAAGATGAACTAATAGTTACAATTCTAAAATACAAGTTAGACATATTAGCTATAAATGAAACCTGGATCCGTGATGGCGAAGAAGCGATTGCGCCTGTCATACCTAGGTACAAGTTTATACATAGAGCTCGTAGGGGTAGAACAGGCGGGGGGGTTGGTTTTTACGTAAGACAAGGAATAATAACTAAAGTGCGACAGCACCCTCAGTCCTTGTTAGAACAGTTATGGCTTGAGGTTCGGCTGCCAGGAGGAACCCTGGCGCTGGGCACAGCCTACAGACCAGAAAGCATTTGTGTTGGGGACGCCTTAGACTCTCTAAGTGAATCTTTAAATATTATGTCGCCGTGTGACTACATCTGTATATTGAGTGACCTAAATATCAATGTTAATCGTCCAGAATCCTCACAAACCAAAGAATTACTCTCCTTTTGTAACCAACATAACCTTGACCAACTAGTCAATGAACCAACCAGGATAACCGATAGTACAGAAACCACCCTAGACGTAGTTCTTACCGATGATTCGACACGCTGCAAAAATCTGAAAGTAGTACACAATAACTGCCTAAGTGACCACGCAACTGTTATGGTAGATCTCGATCTAAAGAAACCAAAATTCATTAAACAAGTAACATATCAACGAGTTTTACATAATATAATCCCAACCATTTTTGATAGGGACCTAGACTCTATACCTTGGCAATCTATTATGGAAGGAAAAACTGTCGATGAGATGGTCGCTATTTTTAATGACTATATATTAGCTCTCTTTGACCTTCATGCACCTATACGGAAAATAATTATTAAAGATAAACATAAACCATGGATCACCGATACAATAAAATTTATGATGACCTTAAGAGACGAAGCTTTAGTTAAATCTCACAAAACCAAAACGGACTCGGCTAAAAATTATTACCGCAGTTTAAAGAACTATACAACGACAGCAATTAAACATGAAAAAAAAGCATATTTTAATTCTTTCATAAATAATAATCTAAAAAAGCCTAATATTTTATGGAAAAATATAAAGAATACCACCCTTCTCAACAACAGGCACGCGGACAATATACCTGACCATTTAAATGATCCGAATAAAATCAGTGATTATTTTCTTGCACTACCAACTTGCCAAGACGTCGATTTGAACGATGTCTCGACTAGTATTGGGAAACCTAAACAACAAAATACCTTTAACTTAGAGCCAACAACAGAAGCAGAAGTGTTTAACATTATCAACAGTATTACAACAAACTCGTCAGGACAGGATGGTTTGAACATAAAGATGATTAAGTCAACTCTGCACAAAACTCTTTCTGTTATAACAGCAATTATTAATAAATCTATAGAGACCCACACCTTCCCCGCGCAATGGAAAAAAGCACTAGTTAGGCCTATACCCAAAAAAGACTCCGCAGATGAACTGAAAGACCTGCGTCCTATATCAATTTTACCGGTTCTATCAAAAATACTGGAGAGGGTTGTGTTAAAACAAGTAGTAAACTATTTGGACAGGAATGATATTGTGCCTAAATTCCAGTCTGGATTTCGTCGAGGGCACGGAACTGAAACAGCCTTACTCCAAGTGACGGATGATCTCGCGGAGGCTTCAGATGGGGGATTGAGTAGCATATTGATTCTCTTGGATTATACACGAGCATTTGATTGTTTACATCCACAGCTTCTATTGGCAAAACTAAATCATTACGGTTTCTCAACTGGCGCATGTAAGTGGTTCGAATCTTTTTTAGTGAACAGAGAACAGACAGTAGTTACTTACGGAAATGATGGCAAAAAGTCACTCTCGTTTCCTGGAAAAATAGTACGAGGAGTTCCGCAGGGCTCTATATTGAGTCCTGTTCTGTTCACAATTTTTACTGCTGACCTTCCACAGTGCATAAAAACGTGTAAATACCATTTATATGCGGACGACACACAGCTGTACTACTCTTTTGATAGCAAAGACACTAGGGATGCTGTAAGGAATATTAATGAGGATCTCCAAAATATTTACACCTGGTCTAATAAAAATTCTTTAGTACTGAATCCTAATAAATCGCAGGTCTTGATCTTGGGAACAAAAAATCAAATAAAAAGAGTTGTAGATTGCAATGAAGAAATTTCCATCAATAATGTCGTCTTACAGAGGGTAAACTCCGCGCGAAATTTGGGTTTACTCCTAGATGGGGAGCAAAAATACGAAGATCACGTAAACAGTAAAATTAGAAATGCTTTTTTCAAACTTAAGATATTATACAAAATTAGACCGTACTTACGTGAAGAATTGAGATTACTTTTGGCTGACGTACTTGTCCTTTCTCCTTTTAATTACTGCAGCGCGGTGATCGGACCCAAACTTAATACCCGGACCGAAAAGGCGATTCAACGCGTACAAAATGCCTGTATTCGTTTCTGCTACAATGTGCCATGGAGGGAATATATAACTCCTTACTTGAATAAGAAAGGTATCCTTAATATGAAGGCTCGCAGTGAACTCCATTTTGCCTGCACTGTACACAGAGTAATCTGGAATAAAAAACCGGAGTACCTATTTGAAAAACTTACCTGGGTTAAAAACAACACACAGAGGAGCCTGCGATCTGTATTGCAAAACTCACTTAGAATACCTAAACACAATTCTACGCGTTATAGAGGATCTTTCAAGTTCTATGCAGCCAGTATATGGAACGATCTACCCCCGCCTATGAAACAAAAAATGAGCATTCAGGGTTTCAAAAGTAAATATAAAGCTGCCTTACTTAAGAAACAGATAGATGCAGAAGATCTTCGCCGTGGGTACTGGAAACTACTGCCCCTAAGAGATTATTTCACGTAGCATACAGTACAAAACACAAAAACACACACACACCACACACACACCACACACACACTACACACTTACACTACACAGGCAGAAAAAGTGTATTTTTTCTATTTTTTTAGTCAGTTTAAATGTTTATTTATTTTTTTTTACTCATTTTTTTTTTCGAAGCCCCCGTGACCATTTTCTCGACCAACACCTTAAGAGAAATGGTGGTGGCTGAAAACCAGCGCTGTCTAGGGCAGGTAGTCCTTGGCGGCACATGCTGAGCCACCTCCATTTGCTTTTTCTTTTAGCATAAGTTATTTTAAGCTTATAATGTAATTTTGTTTCTTGTAATTCCTTTTATGTTTAAAAAGCAATAAACGTTTTTATTATTATTATTATTGTGCGAAAAGACACTTGGGCGAAAGATATTTGTTTTCTTGGTTTGTGTCTTCGCGCAAATGTCTTTCACGCAAGTGTTACATGAAGTTGCAGAAGAGACTAGATTTCAGTTGACATGGTCTTACCGCATTCAGTAAAAAGTAATATTGATTAGATTACACGTTATATGCTGTTTTGTAACATCTCGTAATCGATACGCCTTCCTTATTGCCTTTCGGGAAAGTAAGAAAGAGCGCATGTACCAGTGGAACCGTTAAACTCGGGAAGCTGTAAAATGCACAGTGGACATCATAAAATAGCGATTGGCACAAGTAATAGTTGCCGTACGTTTTAGTATTTGTCAAACTCTTCCGTGGTCTAGCGTTAAGCCGGCCGTTTGACCCAAAAGACCTGGGTTTGATTCACATAAAACGGTGATGAAACCTTTGTGGTTGATCCTAAATCGGTACCGGCATTGAGGCAATATAAATGAAATGTTAGCCGCGGTCCCATACGACCACTGACCACCACTTAGGTGTAAGTGTTTTTTTTTTATCTTTTAAGCCGATGATAGTCTTAATTGAGTCTACTAGATGTCATATCAGATATAGCTGAGCTAATTTAGGGTTGTTGTAGGTACCTTAAGCCGTGGGCAAATGTCCAGGTTAGGACAGTAACTCGCGGCTCAGATTCTTTGGGCTTCAGAGGACACTGTCGAGTTTTAATGGGTAGGCCCCGCCTTTCTGGCCATCGAATAAAGAGATTGTTGTACATTGGAACAGAGGTAACTTGAAAATCGTCATTATTCATCTGTTCTTCTGTGTAATACCCATCTACAGTCATAAAGTTGCAGTAACTTTTACCTAAGTTAGCAGCACTTTCCATCATTACGCGTGTAATGAATCGCCGCGACGCGTCCAATAGCTATGGCTGTGGCAAATGAGGCAATAACATTTGCAGTCTGGGTTACAAAAGAAAATGCATGTAAAGCCGTTACGTTGTATGTTAGACATACAAATAATTCTGCTCTTGTACACCACTGCTTACAAAACAATAATCACTTTTACAAAAAATGTATTACAGTGAAAAAGAAATTACATAAAGCATCTCTCTTTAGTCAAAGTTTTTTCCTATGTATAAAGTCATGCCGAAACTTCGTAATCAACTTGCACGAAGCATTGATTTCTATTTTTATGACCCAATTATTCTGCTTGTTAATTACTTCGTATTGTAAATGACGTTTCGCATTATGTGATAAATCATGTCCGACTTCTAATAAAAGCATAACGCGTGTTTTAATGTTCTAATAATGTGCACGCGCATTCAATTCACTACAGGGTGACTGTGAAAGACTACATGATACGTAGTGCATTCCCCAAATATGAGACAAATCCAATGAGATACTATGTATTTGTATTAGTGTGCCCTTAAAAGTATAATAGCACATCAGCCTATACATTTTGTTGCAAAATAACACTTAATACATCGAAATTAAATGCCACATTACAGCGTGAGACGTCCATCCACAAGGTGGACCGACGACATCATAAAGGTAGCAGGGAAGCGCTGGACGCAGGCCGCTACTAATCGATCAACGTGGAAAGCATTGGCGGAGGCCTATGTTCAGCAGTGGACGTCCTATGGCTGAAATGACGATGATGATGATGATGATGATGAAATGCCACAGTATTGAGTTTGATGTGTTGTCGTCTGTACAAGATTTTAAATGTAGTAACTCGTTGGATTTGTCTTATATTTGGGGAATATACTATGTATCAGGAGTAGAGTCATATTTTAAAAAGATGCCAACGATATCAAAGTCACCCTGTATATTCACTGCACAAGGAACACCATAGCGTGTATTGTGTTACCCAACTATACCTTTTCGAGGCGATACAAAAACGCGGCGTTGCGTCAGCGAATAATGCACATATCGGAACGTGTCGCAATGATACCGGCGCAGGCGCACCCGTGGGAACTCGCTGGGCACGCGATGTTAAGGGTCTTTCTCTAACAGAAATTGGTAACTTTTGGTTCAAAAGTGTGGGTAGGCTTTGAACAAAAGTCGCTTAGCTTAGTTATCATTGAAGCAGTGTTAAAGTTGGTATCCTTCCGTTTGGCCAAATTACTTTTCGCCAAATTTCACTTCGCAAACAACTTATCGCCAAAGTTTCATTTCCCAAATGAACTTTTAGCAACTGTACTTTTCGCAACTAATTCATTTGGTCAAATTATCATTTGGCAAAATTTTACTTGGCAAATTTTTATATAGCAAATGTTTTGTTTTGCCAAATATTATATCCCAAATAATTTGTGTGGTCAAATTGACACTTCACATACTTACCCACCGTTACCCACAAATCAAAGCATAAGGCAGATGATCATGGTTTTCACAAGAATTTTATGTAAAACAAAGAGATTGCAGAAAATAGTATGGTTGCAGAAAGTAGGTATCGCAGAAAATAGTAGGTTAGGTTAGGTTAGAACAGTGACCCTTAACGCGTGAAGGCGAGCGAAGCGTGCCGCGGCAGCGGCCGCCAAGCGCTAGAATCANTTTCTTTTAGCATAAGTTATTTTAAGCTTATAATGTAATTTTGTTTCTTGTAATTCCTTTTATGTTT